AAGAGGATTCCTCTCCGTGGGTGAAGTACACTCCTGTTGGCATTCATACCTCACAGGGGTAAATGTTGTGTCTTTTCTCTGTGTGACTCTGAGAACTTGGGTGCACTGCCTTATGGGAAAAAATGGGAAGACACCAACAGACCACTGGAGAGCTTTCTCTGCCAGTCCTTCGTTGCCCTCTAGAAGGGAGAAGGGTAAGTTCTCATAGAGCCCGTGGAGAATCCTTACAAATACGGTAAGAAAGTAACGCAGAGGCTGGCGACGTGGATAAAAATGTGAACAAACTGGAACTATTACAGACCTCTATATAATGTGTCCACACATGAACTATTACTTCAATTATTGGGGAAAAAAAAGTGCAGTCCAAACGTAAGTGCACAGCCATGCATTCTCCAGCACCTTGCAAGTTGCTGTCTAAAGATAGCATTCATGGGTTCAATCTTGAGAAATTCTTTTTTATTTTACCCATGTTATCAACCATCTAATTATACAATGTTTCAGCTTAAAGGAAAAAAAAAGATTTCAAAAGAAAAGGGAGAGATTTGCAAAGTGCCACAGACTGGAAAGAGGTTAGCAGACTAAGGAACAATTGTTAGAAATTGTTAATATTTTGCTAGCTCTGTACACAATAGAAAAAGAACTGTGGAAGGCTGCCAAGGTCATAAAATAAATTACAGACTTTTTGTCTGTAAGACATTACCTGCCCAGGCAAAGGCATGACAGAGATTACTACAGAGTAGTGTGGATGTGTGTTCAGACTCACTGCTCACAGACAGACAAGTCCAGGGGTGAAATATGTATGTCACACATATTGTGGTTGTGTGGTGTTTTTACTGTTGAAGAAATTCAGCTTGAGTGAATTTAGTGCTATTAAGGTAGGAAGTATGTTTCTACATCTAGTAAGAAAGAGAGAGATGAAATATGTGAAGAGCAGTCTAGTCCTATGACAGGACCATTTGGCTGCAGAGGCAATACGCCTATATCGGAAACAAAATAGATTGTTTCTGGTGCAGAACCTTAAAGGAATCTATGGATGTTCATTCTGAGCCCATTGTTTCTTTACCAGAGGTGGACTGGTGACAGTTTAATTGCAATCTCTTTTCGTTCCCATTCATTGCATTGGTATTGTCTCTGACCTTCATCTTTCAAGTCCTAAGGTTGTTTAAAATCCGCCTTCATGGTTATCTCACTTGGGGGCATGTGGATAAGTGATGAAGTAGGGTGGGAGGGGTGCAGGGGAAAACAACAAGTAGCAAAGCCTAGAAACTGCCTCATAGAGACGTCATCTTTGACAGGGGCCCAAGTCCAGAGCTTCTCCTCGCCCTGTCTTCCCTTGTACATCACAGTGGCACCCTGAGCCGGGCCCTGAGCCTCCGCCCAATGCCAGACAGAGCGGAGATGAGTGTGGGCGACAATGAGCAGGAGAGCTGTGCTTGACACCAGGCCGGCAAAAGACAGAGTAAGGGAACTGACATTGTTTACACCTGCAAATGAGCACCCAGCAAAGACACAAGAAGGAAAGGTCCCTGAGCTGAATGCATGACTGACAGGGCCCCAGAAGGGAAAAGCCCCCCCCCACCCCCACCCCTCCCGAGAGGTGTCTATTGATCCTGGCCAGCAGCCGGGAAGAGCTGGGAAAGTAGAGGTGGCCTGCACAGCCCCCATCCCCCAAAGAGCTCCAGCAGAGGCAGGGCTCAGACCCCCAATCAGCCCCCAGGGGCCAGCCCTCCGAGACATCAGCCTGATACGTGGGCCCCAGAGTCCCTGACTGAACCTTGCTGAGGCCCACTGCATGTGGACTAGTGTCCTGACAGGACTATGAGGAACTGAGGGGCCCGGGTGTGCTCCCCACTCCCAGAAAAGCACAGCAGGCCCCACACTTCAAGGCCCAGGGTAGAAGATAGAGGACACTCACTAATGAGGAAAACAGAAATGACTCACTGGCCTGTTGGAGGCTAGTTTAACTTAGATTATGAAAGGGATGGCACCCGAGATCTGCGGCCCTCCTTGAAGGCGAATATCTGAGAAGCATATTCAGGCGGAATGGACGTGCGCCCAGCGCAGCGCTCATGCATCAGACAGAAGACTGTGCATCCTCCACACCACGTTCCAGTGCTGTGCACGCTCTCCCATGTGGTTAAGTCTCTCACTTTGCATACATGGGGGAGTGTCATGTCACACGCGCCTCCCACCCTTCCCTTTGTGTGCCTACTCTGGATAGACATCAAAGCCAACGTGATTATCCACAGCCTGACAGTTCGATGACGACAAAGGAAACAATTCCTACATGCTGCAAAGACTTAAAAACAACTCAGCCAGCAAAATATACATTTTCAAATGACATTCCAGGAAAAAAAAATTTTTAAACATATTATGAGATTATTAGGACTAGTGTGTGTGAAATGAAGGCTGTGTTTTTCAAGTCCTTTACAAACCCTCTTCCTCTACTACCCTGAGTCAATTACATGAAACTGGCCTTAATTCTTTCAAATGCCACTGCTCTAATGAAGGCTTCTACTGAAGACCTGCATGGCTTGTTAAGAAGTGTCACCAAAAAATATCATGGCGTGATCTCTGATATTTTCTAAAGTAAAAGAGCAATTAGAATGTGACTCTGGTTGGAGTTGAGTTGGATCCAATCCAATTAGCTTATAACTTAATAGCTCATTGTGTTTTAGCAGTAGGTGATGTTTAATTAGTTTATTGCTTCCCATCTTAGTTCAGAATTTCACATTCTGAGGAGTTAGAGTTTTAAAGGAGTAGATGAACATTCATCCAAAAAAGTGTGTGCGCTCCAACTTCCCTCAGAACACTGGAGTAACATTCAGTTTTCCAGGTGTAACAAAATTACAATTCTCTGACTCCAGAATTTATAGTGTTTCTGGTAAGACTCACAGACAAGCAGCCTGGAGTACACCAGGCCTGCAGAGAGTTGGGTTTTGTTTTTCTCTTCTCTTCTTTTCTCTTCTTTACTTTTCTTTTTCTTTCCTTTCACTTCATTTTCTGTCTTCCTTTATCTCCCTCCCTTCCTTCCTCCCTCCCTCTCTTCCTTCCTTCCTTCCTTCTTTCCTTCCTTCTTTCCTCCCTTCCTTCCTTCCTTCCTTCCTTCCTTCCTTCCTTCCTTCCTTCCTTCCTCCCTTCCTTTCTTTTCTTTCTTCCTTTGCCAGAACAATGTATACTTTGTTGACTAGTTAGTATCACACCAAGTAAATTCACATGGATCTCACATTCGGAAGGGCAGAAGGACTGCCCCTTTGGATGGACTAGCAGGTCTCCCATTCTTCTCCATCTGTACGAGACCTGAGCCATTTACTTCCTTTACCTGCCTGGCCCCTGTACGCAGGCACACACATCTGCCACTCTGCATCCTCTACCGTGCCATACAGCGTTCGTCTGACCTTCAGGCTCTATCTTTTCCACATTGTGTGGTGGATATTCTGTAACTGGGTTCTGCAATGACCTTGCCCTCTTTTCTCACCAAGTGCACTGGGAATATGACCATTTCGCCAAATATTAGGATATAAAGCAGTGGTTCTCAACCTTCCTAATGCCGCGACCCTTTAATATAGTTCCTCATGTTGTGGTGACCCCCAACCATAAAATTGTTTTCGTTGCTACTTCATAACTGTAATTTTGCTACTGTTATGAACCGTAATGTAAATATCTGATATGCAGGATGTATTTTCATTGTTACAAATTGAACATAATTAAAGCATAGTGATTAATCACAAAAACAATATGTAAATATATATGTGTTTTCCAATGGTCTTAGGTGACCCCTGTGAAAGGTTCGTTCGACTCCCAAAGGGGTCGCTTTCCACAGGTTGAGAACCGCTGATATAAAGGGAACTGAGACCAAGTTCAACAAATATTTGGATATAAAGTAAATTAAGACCAACATCAGCAAATGCTCTGGTGCCAACAGACATCAAGATGGCTAAGTATTGCCTATGATTTGGCATCAAGATTTAAGGGTAGAAGGTGTTATGAAAGTAAAAGTGGGGGGCGGGGCGGGAAAGGTGGCATCCAGGGAAGACAGGGGGAAATGAGTGAGTGAGAAGGAGAAAGAGGAGACATGAGGAGGGAAAGACACTCTGTCCTTCTGATAGAGAGCCACCCCCAGTGCCACCCACAGCCCTCTCAGCGGCAGCTCAGCGACACCAGTCATCTACCCAGGATTCCAGCAACACGTTAGAATAAAAATGAACAGGGAGTAGGAGGAGAGAGTTAGGACTTTACCTACTAGGCAGCAATGTCATGGAGTCACTTAGAAATGAGTAACGGTATCCCATTTGTTCCACACAGTTCCACTAAGGAAAAGTCGTTCCCCAGGAATGTGTTTATTTCTCTGAAGGTTTTGCTGGCTTGAGTGCTTTTGCCACACACACCCCCACCCCCCAAACGTCAGTAATAGACCCTAATCACAACGTCTCCTAATCCGATCACTCTGGTGACAGGAAAAGGGCCGTTTCATTATTTCAGCTTCTTCCCAATATTCAACGCTAGGAGACATTTTGAGGGCACGAAGAGTCCTTGTCAGGAACTCCTTTTACATAAGGCTAAAAACGCTCCAGGAGTGACACTTGAAATTGATCATCCTTTTAGCCATTCTGTCAGGCTTCCGAAAATTAATGAGTGGGCTGCAGAAGGGAAGTGGCTTACCAGAACATCACACAGATCTGCTGATCCCGACTCGCTGAAATTCTGCTTACCTAATGCAAAGCTAAACATCTCATTTCTCCCCAGTGTTTACATTCTACTCAAATCACCACTTGGGTTTCCTCCATTCCATGTTGCTCCCTCCTCGGGGAAATGACAGTGAAGTACAAAGGAAAGCAGCCAAAGTCACTGTTTTCAGCAGATGGGATGATACAATGGGTCCTTCCCAGACTTAAACTACAAAATGTCTTATATGAAAACTCGAGATTCTGAATGTTGGGTGGCATTTACACCACAGTATTAACTGGGTGAATATGATGTTCAGATCACAACCAGATAAGAAACTTACCTGGGTGAAGAAATTCCTTGATCAGGAAGGTGATTCTCCCATGGCCAGGTTTAGCTTTTGCACTCTGTGGGAATGATCCCGTCTGTTTCTCCAAATATGAGAAATGCAGCTGCAGGAGCTGTGGGAAGATATAATAGTCTCAGTTCCTAAAATACTATAAATTACTGAGTTAAAGGAAAACATAAAGGAACTAAAAAAGTTTAAACATAACAAGTAACGCTCACTATAAGGCCTTCTTCAAGTTGTAACAGTTGATGAGTAAACATCCCATACATTTTATCCCTTCACTTCTCCTACAAACCCTAGGCCAGGGGTGGGCAACGTTTTTGTGAGTGCGTGCCAAAACCAGCAAAATTTCTGACTCAAAATTCTTCTGCGTGCCAACCCTAATTTTTTGAGAACATGTTATGCCTACTTGATATCTCTTAAGGTGTATGCATGTGAAGAACCTTGAAGAAATAATAAAATTCATTCAAGCAACAAAAACACAGTATATGATGATGAAAAATACATTTATTTTTTAATTTATACATGTACACTCATAGTCCGACAGAAAACTTTATGACTCCGTTTGATATTATCAGTGGGACTTTTGCTGCTGCATCACTGATGACAGAGATTTTACATCAGGTTTATATTTCCTGACCTTCAGAGATATGCACGAGCTACTACTTTCTTCTGTCAGGCTACTCCTATTATGAGACTTAACAAAATTCATCACTGAGAACAAAGATTCACAAGCATATGTGGATGAAAACATGAAGAGTAACACTGTTGCAAAGTTTTTTAAACAGAAAAAATTTTCTGGAATGGCATTCCAAGTCCTCAATAGTTCGTTTTCGATACTTCTCTTTGGTACTCCTGTCTCTAGTTGCTTTTTTTCAATGTTTTCCAAGTCAACTCTTAGGTCAATAAATTTCTGCTTCCAAATTGAGCTACTCTGAAATTCAATCAACTGTATTTCAAAGTCAGCCATGTCTATCTATGAAAACATTTGTAAGTTTAGTTCCTCCAGTTTCATGCTGTCTGGAAACCTCATGAATTTTGCTGTCTCTTCCAGTTCTCTGAATTTCGCAAATCTTGAGAAGAACTGCTCAATAGTTGACTCGATGATGTTTAAAAACAGCTTTTGAAGGTTTTGACAGTCTGTTCTGTCATCTTTTGGGAGGTCTTTGATGTGCCTCTTGAGGTTTGGGAAATACCTAAATCTCTCACCACCCACATCCCTCTTAAAGACTTCCAGTTTAGGTTGCAACGGTCCTGGTGGGGTAGGGATGGCTTCGGTGAGGTTGAAACTGCCCTGGTGAGGTAGGGTCGGCCCCGGTGAGGTTGAAACTGCCCCGGTGAGGTAGGGATGGCCCCAGTGAGGTTGGAACGGCCCCAGTGAGGTCGGGGCAGCCCCGGTGAGGTTGAAACGGCCCCGGTGAGGTTGGGACTGCTCCAGTGAGGCTGGGACAGATAATGGGGACCAGTATAGACTGATGAACAGGGGTAGATGCAGAGGCAGAGCAACATTGAACAGACTGTCAAACTACAGTGGGAAGCCTGGGGAGGGTTGGGAGGGGATTAAGAGATCAACTGAAGGACTTATATTCATGCATATAAGATTAACCAATGGACACAAGACATCTCGGGGGGGGGGGTAGGGGCTGGGGGAATGTCAAGGGGGGGGGGAAGGAGACATATGTAATACTCTTTGTAATACTTTAAGAAATAAAAATTATTTAAAAAAAAAAAGACTTTCTTTTCAAAAGACTTTATGTAACCAAACATAACATCAAGTGTCTTGCCAGTGCCTTGTAATTTAACATTTAAGTCATTCAAATGTTCACAAAAATTGTAAATGGAAGATTATAAGAGAGGGTTTTGCGTGCCAGCAAAAGTTACTGGCGTGCCATGTTTGGCATGCGTTTCAGGGGTTGCCCACCCCTGCCCTAGGCGCTGGCTAAGCAGCTGCAGTTACAAAGGTGTCTCATACAAGACTTCCACCCTGTGGACATTTGAGGAAACAATCAGATCCCACATTTATGAAGTCCTCTCCCCTCTCCCCCCAACTCCCCCACTCTTTCTTAGATAAGTTATAAGGGAACTTGGACATATGTTACAATTCCATGTTTTCCTCTTTTGATGCTCATTGTTTAGGTTTTAAAAATCTGTTTCTCACCCAGCTGACGTGGTTGGGTGTCAACCCATGAATCAGGAGGTCAACCTTCAATTCTCGGTCAGGGTATATGCCCTGGTTGCAGACTCAATCCCCAAGAGGGGGCTTACAGGATTTTCTCTCTCATCACTGATGTTTCTAGCTCTCTCCCCATCTCCCTTCCTCTCTCTGGAATCAATAAAAATCGTTTTTTTAAAATTAGTTTCTTATAAATTCTCTTTAATTCCCTTCCTATTCTCTTTTTTGAGTTCTTACAAAATTCATATAGAAAATTTTCACTTGTTTTCTTCTGTGTTCTTTATAGCCTTTTCTCTCAGTTGCTTTTCTAAGTCAAAAAACTTGATAATAACACAGAAACTGGCTAGACCAATGGAATCATTTTGCCAATGTTTAAAGTACCTAACAATGTACCAAAGTTATCTTCTGAATATATTTCCTAAAATTGTCTTCTAAGCGTCCTTTCTTCTATACCTCAATTACCAAAGTAAAACACACAACACACACACACACACACACACACACACACACACCTCAACAAAAATAGCATTGCAGTTGAAATCACAGGATTGGTGTTGCTGTTTTTTAACTCCTTGTACTCTAATTTCAGCTCTACCACATATTAGCTAAGCAAACTTGAAAAATTACCTGAACCACCTTGTGCCTTAATTCCTCCTATATAAAATCAGTAGAACCATAGTACATACTTTACAGAAATACTGTCCAAAGTCAATTAACTAATACTTGTCAAGGATTTAAATCAGTGCTGGAATACATAAAGCCCTAATATTTTATATATTGTCAATATTGCAATATTATTTTCTGATGCTACTTTTAAAATTTAAATATTTTTACTTAACCCATACTTTTTGAGTTAAATGAATTTGTGGCTTGGTCTGGAGCCATAACTACCATATATAACATTGTTCCAATTAGCAAATACGTCTAGATTTTTAAAAACACTCATAAACTTTTAGAAAGCATCTTTGTTATAAATAAATTAATAACTATCTCTTCACAATAACTTCACAGAGGCAAAGAAACCACTGAGCAGGGGAATGGGCAGGATCTGGCTGTGGATGGGATTAGAAAAGAATCATTTCCTGAAGTATTTTGTTTGGGTTTTTGTTAGAATTTAAAATATTAAGAAGCAGAGACTAGAAAAAAAGGAATACATTCCAAGTGATTAAAATAGTATGTGCAAAATCTTAGGGGACTGAGCAAGTTGAAAGCCTACAATTTTTATAAAGCTCTGCTAAAAAAAAAAAAAAAAAAAAAAAAATGCCTTGGCAATACAGTTTATTTGAATGGCTTGGTATAAACTCTTTTTCTTACGTTCTAGAATATAAAACTGCTGTCTTCAAACCTAAACTTTGCTCTAGGTTTGCAAAAACAAAAGTGAACTATATTGTCAGTATTTTTTCCACGCATGTGCAGTAGGTGAATGCATTATAGACACTTGCCTTCCGTTTCCCATAATGCTCTAAACTGAGCCTGAGCTGATGCAGGAGCTCAGAGCAGTGGGGGGTGGGCAGCAATAGGCATACGCATTCCTGACAGCAGTCAGAATCAGATGCTTAATTTATGCACTCATGGCACAGAAAAGGAAAAAAAAGCGCGTGAGCACTTACTGTAGCTGCTGCTGATTAGTGACTATTCATTTAAAAGGCATTTGGCTTGTGCCAATGCAACCCTCATGTTCTTTATGAAGAAAAAGTCCATCATTCAGTTTTCCTATAAATTATGCAGCTTTCTGTTTATTCATAATGCCCTGCTTCATAATAAAGACCTGTTTAAAGAGCCTTTATTGTAGCTAAACTACTGGACTCGCACAATTAAAGGGAAGGGGGGGGGGAAAGCTAGATTAAACCTCCAAAAAGGGACACTGCCCAAGTTAATGCTTCCCTTGGCCCCAGGGAAACTCACTCTGACAAGCGGGGCTAAAACGTGTTCTGGTAATTGCTTCTTTCCCCAGCCTTGCTGAGTAATTGCTTCGCAACTTTGCCCTCCTGGCACACACACATAGAGTTATCGTGATGAGATCTCAAAATGATACCTAGACCCAAAGAGGAATGTCTTATACGTCCCGGAGTTGAGAAGAATGGGAGCGATTACCAGGAGAACTAATTTAGTTTTCAGTCGAGCATCTTAGGCATCCATCCAGAAAGGAAAAGAAATGTATCCAGAATACCAGCTGAGCTTACACCTTCTCTTCTCTCTCTAGACACCAGTCCCCACAGCCAAACACAGCACACCCAGATGTGTTGGCCTCACTGTGTCTATTCCCATCACGAGACCAGAGAACGTAAGAAAGGTCTTGCTGGATCAGGAACGTGGCTTATGTCATCCTGGGAAGACACGTTCACCCTCCCTGACCTCAAGAAGGAAGGTTGCCTCTGAAGCGCCTCTAGATCTCCTTTCTGTGAGAAAGCTAGGATGTATGGAATAGCGCTCTTTTCCCCCCACATCCTTCCTGACCCTGTAAGCATTTTCAGTTTAAACTCACCTCTTGATATTCTTAAAGTTTATGAAGACTACCATGATAAATCATGTCTCCTTCATTTGCCTTAAAACAAGCTTTTCATACTAGTGTATGGCTGGCACAGTGGTAAGCACACAGAAGATAGTTGGGGGGAAAATACCTAGCAACTCGAATTGGCCAGATTGGAAAAATGCAGGGTTGAGCCCTCAGTGTAAATGCACCACCTGATTGGCTCACCTTGACCGGATGACTTAGGATTCCACTGTGAACATTTTGGCCTGGAAGGGGTCTCTGGCTTCTTAAATATAGATTTCAAAAGAGATGAGGCAGCATTTTCAGTGATCCCACTGGTTAAGGGTATGGTTAGGACTACTACCCTCTTCATTGATAAAGCTGACCATATTCCTTACCACTTAGCATAAAGCCATCTGGACAACAAATGGGCAGATCTTGCTTCATTCTGTTCTAACTTCATTTTCTTAAGAAAAGCAAGTTGATCATTATCTTTC